TTCTCTTTACGTGTTCACTGAAGCGATTACGGTCCATTGTTCGTTTACGGTTCAGACAACCTTAGCTTATAATTAGTATAAATATGGCAGATTTAGCATTTAGATTTAATTACATTTCGCTTCTGAAGATGTCAACATCGTTGGCGGAAAGTACTTTAAGCAATTTGTGTTTTGTTTTGGTGTTGGGGAATATTTCTAATATTTGTGTAGGTCAAATTTTGGTTAAGTTGGAAAAGAAACTTATTCTTTATTTAAAGATTAGTTCCTTTACATCGTTTTTGTAGGTGACGTAGGTCAAAACTTTTTTAGATTCTTTTTGTCAGGTCAAATCTTGTTTAAAGTTGGATATGGAACGTATTCTTTTTTAAAGATCAGTTCTTTTTTTTGTTAGGGGTCGTAAGTCAAAACTTTTTTAGATTCTTTTTGTTAGGGCAAATCTTGTTTAAGTTGGAGAGGGAACTAATTCTTTATTTAAAGTTAAGTTCTTTTAGTTCGTTTTTGATAGGGGTCGTAAGTCAAATTGTCATTAGTTTTTTTAAGTTAAATATGGAACTTATTTTTTTTAAAGATCAGGTTGTTTTTTTTTCTTGGGGTAGTAAATCAAAATTTTTTTAGATTCTTTTTGTCAGCGCAAATCTTGTTTAAGTTGGAGATGGAACTAATTATTTCTTTAAAGTTAAGTTCTTTTAGTTCGTTTTTGTTAGGGGTCGTAAGTCAAAACTTTTTTAGATTCTGTTTGTTAGGGCAAATCTTGTTTAAGTTGGAGATGGAACTAATTCTTTATTTAAAGATAAGTTCTTTTAGTTCGTTTTTGTTAGGGGTCGTAAGTCAAATTGTCATTGGTTTTTTTTAAGTTAAATATGAAACTTATTCTTTTTTTAAAGATCAGTTCTTTTACTTCGTTTTTGTAGGGATCATAGGTCAAAATTTTGTTTAAAATTCTTTTCGTCAACTCAAATTTCAAGTTGGAGATGAAACTAATTCATTATTTGTTCGCTTTTGGGTAGGTGAGCATATTTTTTAAATACTTTTCGTCGTTTTAGTCTGTTTTAGATAGTGATTACCCTATGGAACCAGGCGCCCAGGAGTTTCCTATAAAACCCTCCTTTTTATTCCTTCCATTTAGACCCATTTTAGTTCAATTTCACAATCTTCAGATTGTTGAATTAAATAAAAATGGTAGATGGATCTTGAAAGTACTTTCTGGATTTTGTCTCGGAACATCGGTAATCCGTGCCAACCCGTTTTTAACGTGGAGCATGTTGTTGCGCACCGGCGCTAATCTATTTGTAACTTAATTATCTGTCGTTTTCCTTTTCTACCCTTCCTATTATCCTAATTCCTTCGATTGGACCTGACGTGGACATCTTGGACTTCTTGGAACTTCAGGGTGCGAGTGAATCTTAAATGCGTGTATGTATACAACCAGTAAATTTGTTTTTTGCGTGTTTTTGTTTATTTAAATACTTTATCTGTTTTAGGAAATTTTAGGTAAATAATATGATAAGGAGGGTGGAGGGTAACTCCGCCAGGTATTTTTAACCTGCCGGTCCCAAGCCCGGATAAAGGAGGAGGGCCCTCACTCTTTTCTATTTTTTTTTAGATTGTTTTCGTCCCGGTCAAATCTAGAATATGCATATATAATAAAAGTATATAATATATCATTTTCGTACATTTTTTTCTCTAAAAAGCGATATTATCACCCCCGTATTGACGCCACTGCTTGTAGAATTTATTAAAGGTTCCTTTTGGACCACCCTGTATATAAATGGAGCCTAAAATTTTAATCGGGAAAATTCATTAGTCAATAGAACTCGCAAAAATAAGATGACAATTTAATATGAACTTCTATGTTTTAAGGCCTCGTTTTCAAAATACAGGATGGTAATTTTTTTTTTAATATTGATTTTTTCAAAAACTTTTGGGCCGAATTTAATAAAAAATTTCAGCTTTTTAGCAATAGAATTGAATTTAAATTCAATTAAGGAAACCCAACTGGATATTTAAAAATAAAATTTTGGTAGGTGCGCTACTGATTTTTTAAAAGTTTCATTGTTTACTTTGTCTGTGGCAGCCGCTAAGGTTAGACGTGTTTTATGAACTCGGCGATTTTTCGTTCGTTAAAAGAAATGGATCAAAGGATTTGTATCCAATTTTGCTTAAAAAATGAAATAAATTCTGTGAAATGTTAACAAAGGCCTATAGTGAGTCTGCTATAAGTTAAACAATAGTTTTCAAGTGGTATAATAGTTTCAAGATGGCCGTAAAGACGTTGAAGATGACGAACGCCCCGAACGCACAAGCACATTAACAACCGATAAAAACATGGAAAAAGTGGAAGAAATGGTTATAAACCATCAGAGAAGTCGCTGATGATGTTGGTATATCGATTGGCTCATCCCATGAAATTTTTTCGAATGTTTTGGGTATGAAACGCGTGGCAGCAAAATTTGTTAAATTTTGAACAACATTTTTGGCCAAAAACAATACTGTAATGATGCCCCAGCCTCCATATTCTCCAGACATGCCTCTATCTGACTTTTTCCTATTCCCAAAAACAAAGAGAACCTTAAAGGGCCGTGGTTTTGCAAGCATAGATGACATTAAAAGCGCATCGCCGAAAGAACTAAAGGCTATCCCAAAGATCGAGTTTTAGAAGTGTATTGGAAGAAGAGCTTGCACATGTTCATAATATCCAATGGGGACTATTTTGAAGGCGACAACATTAATGTAGACGAATAAATAAATATTTGTTTCAAAAAACGAAAATTCCCGATATTTTCTGAACACACCTCGTATATGTAGTGTGTAGTCATCGTTAAATTTTATCAATAATAATAATAATTTTGTATCATGCAATTTTTAAATTTTTGCAATCGTTTAATAAAACCAATTATATATAACCAGGTACCTACGTAACTTATTATTGATATGATATAATTTGTGGACTTGATTATTGTTATTTGTATAAAATTTAGTTTGTGCGATATTTACGCCCCATTACGTTGCAAATATTATAACAGGTTTAGATTATGGCAAATGAAATTTAACAATTCATTAAACCCATTATTAGTTTTAGTTTGTTGTTGGAGTAAATTGCACACATTTCAGTAACATATATTTAACCCACCTATCATGTTATATTTTGTAAATTTCGCGTTGTCTCTATTTTAATTTTGTGTGTAAAATTGTTTTAGTTAAAATATTTATAGAATTAATATTATTATTTTACAATTTCAGCTTATATATAAATATTATAATAGTATATTAAACAACTAATATCATATATCTTATAAGACGTCATTTTGTCGCACGCGGACAATTTATAAAAACGAGCGACAAAGGTCTTATGACATGAGTTATTTATGCCATTTTATCTATTTTGCAAAAATTCCATAAAAAAATTAATTTTATACCTTAAATTTAATTTGGTCGAATTTTACTTTAGATAGTTGACAGTTAATCTCAAAATTGATTTGCCATGCCGTCCTTAATTTACTTATTTACAATAAGCGGCTGTTAATGTTAAATAAGAAAAAAAGGATATGCTTTGGTGTTAAACAAAATTTATTGTCAGAAAAGTCTCGTAAGTACTAGAAAAATCATAAAAATATTATAACCAATATTCAAAATATTATGCCGTTTAAAGTATAGCCAACCTATAAAATCAAAATTTTTGATGGGATAAAGTATCTCATTACAGCACCGAAAGAGGTGTTATAATGAAGTCATTATGAACGCAAAACAGAGATAGTCAAAATTGAATTGTTAAAAACTTTGCTTTAAACAACATAAATTCTGATAGTTTTATTTTTCTTCTAATAGATCGATAAAAAACTCTTTAAAACGTAGTATTAAAGTTTTACTTAAAAACCTATTAAAAATTTAAATGCGATTTAGCAAATTAAAAGTATCATTTTGTATTTTATAGTATAAAAAAATCAATACTGTTTAATTTAAAATTTTAATACGTAAATAAACTTAGCAAAGAAGCAACCAAAGTATTCAATTATCTCCTAGGATGTAAAAATAATTTAGTCTCATCAGGTGAAGTTTTTTGCATCCTTGTCTGTAAAAAGCTCGAGTTTTTTAACCTCACTTTATGCTTTTAATAATTAATTAAGGATGGAGAAATAAAAACACAGAGTAATAAATTTTTTAAAATAAAAAAAAACATATTTTATCTCCACTATAATTTAAACTTTATTAGTGTCAACATTCCTTGTTATGGCCTAGGCCAATAAAAATTTTTATGAGGCAAGTAATTAGTTCGATTTTTTCTCGCTAGGGGTATTGTTTTGACAAATTAATACTTTTCTAAGAAATTAACGTACTAAACTGGTTTAATTTATTTATAATAAGCACTAATTTGTTTGTTTTACTGTTAATGTTTAATATTTTTCATTAAATTATTGTAAAATTAAATATGAATAAAACAAAAAGTGAGGTTAGGCAACCAAGAAAACGCACGATTCTTTTTCTACGATTTAAATTATCTTTAATTTTTAATTTGCTTTAAGTTTTCAGTGAAATTAAATGTTAAACACAGCTTAAACATTCCAAACTACCTATTTTTTAAATAAAAATTCAAATTAGATACCTACCTATTTATTAAACAATTAATTGAATTCAATGTAATAGAAAAATCCATTTCTACTTAAATCATGTAGCTAGGTATTGTCAAACTATTACTGCTTCCAAAAGCAATAATAATTATTGTACATTTACTGTAATCTTTGGCTAATAAATAAATGAGATTCTAAAAAAGTTAGGTTAGGCCGCTTTGATGTTGAATTAAATTGACCTATATAAAGTGCTTTGAAGATAAAATGTTGTATGCCTTTTTGCTCTTCGCTCAATTGTAAGCCTCCGCTACGCGTCGGCCTTCAAACCTTGAGCTTAGCACAAAAAGCCTTACTTCTTAACCTAATGACATAAATAACTATTTTTCTCTAAATCTCTTTATCACTAAATTTTGAAAAAGAAAAAATCTATCTCACCTGGTACTCGTAGGAAGGCTTCAAATAATACAGCGCCATCTCTTGATGGAAGACCGGAGTGGCCGATCCGCTTAGAGGCGGCACAATCCAGACCCAGTCGGCCGGGCATCCGTGCCTTAACCTCACTTCGTTCTCCAGGTGCTTCATGAACGACTCGGAAGCCGTGTGGTGGTCCACGATCGTGACGCCTTTCTGCTGAAAACTGTGCAAGACGGCAACGTTGCATTCCACTAGAGCCTTGTCTTTCCACAGGGTGACGGGGGTGCGAGTGTCGAGTCCCATTTTTAACGCGATTATCTGAAAAAAGGTATATCTTTAAATCAAATCAAATCAAATCAAATCAAATCAAATCAAATCAAATCAAATCAAATCAAATCAAATCAAATCAAATCAAATCAAATCAAATCAAATCAAATCAAATCAAATCAAATCAAATCAAATCAAATCAAATCAAATCAAATCAAATCAAATCAAATCAAATCAAATCAAATCAAATCAAATCAAATCAAATCAAATCAAATCAAATCAAATCAAATCAAATCAAATCAAATCAAATCAAATCAAATCAAATCAAATCAAATCAAATCAAATCAAATCAAATCAAATCAAATCAAATCAAATCAAATCAAATCAAATCAAATCAAATCAAATCAAATCAAATCAAATCAAATCAAATCAAATCAAATCAAATCAAATCAAATCAAATCAAATCAAATCAAATCAAATCAAATCAAATCAAATCAAATCAAATCAAATCAAATCAAATCAAATCAAATCAAATCAAATCAAATCAAATCAAATCAAATCAAATCAAATCAAATCAAATCAAATCAAATCAAATCAAATCAAATCAAATCAAATCAAATCAAATCAAATCAAATCAAATCAAATCAAATCAAATCAAATCAAATCAAATCAAATCAAATCAAATCAAATCAAATCAAATCAAATCAAATCAAATCAAATCAAATCAAATCAAATCAAATCAAATCAAATCAAATCAAATCAAATCAAATCAAATCAAATCAAATCAAATCAAATCATTTTATCGGTAGATGATGATAAAATGAGATTATAATCTCTCTTCTATGTATACATAGATTTTTTTATTTTTAAATTTGGTATGGCGAGTTCTGGAACACCCTGTATATATTTATTATTTATTTAAAGCGGAGTTAATATTTTAATAAAAGTTATACCTATAAAAATACTATCTAAATTGACAATGCAAGGATTTTATAGATTTAATATAAAATTTTAAAAGTTTAAAAGCAATATTGTCATTTTATTTTCTATTATTAAATATCCTAACTTAATAATAATAATGTATTTATTTATCATCAGTGCTACATAAAAATAGCAAAATAGAAAAATTTACAGTCAGATTTTTAACAAAACATTTTTATAAATAGAAAACTAAAACTCAATTAAGTATAAACATTTGTATAAAACAAAGTTTAACATTTGTGTGGTATTACATTCACTGATAGTGCAACTAATTTTGTAAGCGATTAATAAAATAATATTATTTAACTTAAATTTTAAATTTTAATGGCTATAAAAAATAAACCACCAAAGGTTCCTTTTTTTATTAAATTTTCAGTGTCTTATTGGGACAAAACCCTACGATTTGTCAAATGAATGAGATTATTTTTATTTACAGAATAAACTTTTTTACTGTTAATAAAATTCTTATTTCTATAATGAAGCAGCAATGTTGAGCTTTTATAAAAAAAATGTTCATCCAACAAAGTAATAATTGTTATCATATTGCCATGGTAATAAGAAATACTTTATGTTTATATTAAATCTTTTAAAATGTGTGAATTGCGTAGTTGATATAGTAAAATTTGTTCATTTTACTATGGCATATTTGTCTTTTTTAAATTACTATCGTTGTAATTCAAAATAATTTTATTTCAGTTAGAAAATCTTTGTTAATAGCTTACGTTACTTTTTTAATATTTACTATTGTTTTGCCATGGTAACAAAATTTTTGGTATTTCCCTTAAAAAGAGGGGGAAAGGGCCAGCGCTCTCCTTGGTGAACATAACTTTAAAATCCACAGTCTGTGTTATAATCTTATTGATTTCACTTGTGCGAGTGAAGTGGTAAAATCTAGCATGATAAAAATATCAAAAAGATCACTAAGAAAATTAAAATTTCGACGTTTTCTAAAAGAAATATTTAAGGTCTATTCTATAAACGAAGCAGACTTGTTGTTTAAAAAGTTCATATTTTTTTATTTTTTACCCACATCATATAATATGAGTTAATTTTTTTGTTATAATAAATAATTTGTTTTAATGCCTTGCAATTATTTAAAAAAATACCCAATACCCAACAGTAGGTTAAAAATGTGACCATTGTTACAATGAAAATAGTTTATTGAATTAACAATTAATTTATTGTTAAATTTACAAAAATTTTATTAATATTATAATTAAGTTTTATTTTAAACGGAAAGGGATTTGTAAAATTTACAAAATTTCCATTAGGGTTTCATTAATACTACCAAACGGTTTTGTAAACAGTATAGAATTGTTTTTTGGACAAATAATGCGTTATTATTTTTATAAACATAACGTAAGTTTACTTATATATACCTACTCATATAATTAATGCAAATTCTATTACTGAAAGCATTTTGTTATATTTATTAAACAAATTTCTGAGTATGGAAATCTTTAAAGAGGGTGACGTAAAATGTCAGTTATTCAAGTCGATGGACATAAAACTGTCTCGTTATTTGCCTACAAATTCATCGATTACCTTTAGCACTGAGCAGACGCGATTTATATGCCAGTTGAGACATTTTTTATTATTATATTTTTCTTACCTCCATCATGTTCAATCGGTGCGTGTCGCACAAATTTCTGCAGCCGATTTCGGTGCTCATGTACCAACCGTTAAAAGGTGCAGCAGTAAATTGGATGCCTCCGCAGTCGAACATCATGTTGGAGACTGCAGGGAGACTGTACCATTTTAAGCCTAGATCTTCAAACCAGTTTAAACTGAAAAATAATAACAGTTTTTAGTGTCTTTGGTAAGTAAGTTGTCCTAAATATTTAAGTTTCTTACACAAATATTAGAAATATATCTATTCTTCCGAATATACTCCCAAAGTTTAAGTTTTTAAATTAATTTTTAACATAATAACTAGAAAAATCTTTAAAAATTGGGGAAAAGACATAATTTTTTATAATTATGTTTTCAAACGTTTCAGATTTTTAAATTAATTTTTAACCTGAGCCCCGAGCACTTAAAAAAAAATACAAAAAATCCTAAAAAAGTAGGAAAAAGTCACATTTTTTATATTTTTTTTTTCAAACGTTAATTTTTTTTAAATTAATATTTTTTTTCAAACAAGTTTTTTTTTTACTTTTGTAAAAGATCCTCCCAAAGTTTTGGATTTTTAAATAGAAAAAGTCCTAAAAAGTGGGAAAAATCATAATTTTTTATAATTTGTTTTTCAAACGTTAATTTTTTTCAAAGGAGTTTTTTTTTACTTTTGTAGCTTTTTGAAGATCCTCCCAAAATTTTAGTTTTTAAATTAATTTTTCACCTGAGCCTTCTAAGAAAAAAATAGAAAAAATTCTAAAAAGTGCAAAAAAGTCATAATTTTTATACTTAATTTTTTTTTCAAACGTTAATTTTATTATTTTTTTTTTCAAGAGTTTGTTTTACTTTTTTACTCTTTCGAAGATCCTCCCAAATTTTTTTTAATTAATTTTTCACCTGAGCCTTTTAAGAAAAAAATAGAAAAAATCCTAAAAAGTGGGAAAAGTAATAATTTTTTATAATTTGGTTTTCAAACGTTAATTTTTTTATTTTTTTTTCAAAAGAGTTTTTTTTTACTTTTTACCTCCCAAAGTTTTAGTATTTTAAACTAATTTTTAACCTGCGCCAAAATCATAATATTTAAAATTTAACTAAAAATTCTACTCTCTAAAAGTGAAACAGTGAAATTTTCACTATTTGCGTCAGTGAGTTATTATTCACTGTAAAATTAGTGTTTTTCAATATAAATTAGTGAAATTTTAACTACTTTAAATTATTATTTTTTATTGGAAAAGTATACTTTTCCAGAACTCTCGACATAAAATAGTGAAATTTTAACTTTTTTGAACTAAACCAAAGAAATCGCTACATGAAAAAGTGAGTATTTACTAATTGCTATAGCAATTAGTATAGTATACGTATATATATATACGTTATATATAATATACGTATACTTATCACTGCGGCAAATAGTTAATATATTAACATATTAACATGCATATATGCACTGTCAATCAGTGAAAATCCACTGTTTCATTTTTAGAGAGTACAAAAGAAGGTACGACCACTTAAAAAATATATCCTAAGAAAGTGGAAAAAAGTCATAATTTTTTACTTTTTTTTTATTCTAAAAAAATACAAAAAATCCTAAAAAAGTTGGAAAAGCTCATACATTTTTTATAATTTTTTCTTCAAACGTTAATCTTTTTTAAATTATTATTTTTTTTTCAAACGAGTTTTTTTTTACTTTTGTAAAAGATCCTCCCAAAGTTTTAGATTTTTAAATAGAAAAAATCCTAAAAAGTGGGAAAAAGTAATAATTTTTTATAATTTGTTTTACAAACGTTATTTTTTTTTCAAATGAGTTGTTTTTACTTTTGTACCTCCCAAAATTTTAGTTTTTTAAATTAATTTTTCACCTGAGCCTTTTAAGAAAATAAAATAGAAAAAATCCTAAAAAGTGGGAAAATTTCTTTATAATTTGTTTCTCAAACGTTACTTTTTTATTATTTTTTTTTAAAAGGAGTTTTTTTACTTTTGTACTCTCGAAGATCCTACCAAAATTTTAATTTTTTAAATTAATTTTTCACCTGAGCCTTTTAAGAACAAAATAGAAAAAAATCCTAAAAAGTGGGAATTTTTTTATAATTTGTTTTTCAAACGTTAATTTTTTTATTATTTTTTTTTCAAAGCAGGTTTTTTTTAATTTTTTGACTCTTCCGAAGATCCTCCCAATGTTTTAGATTTTTAAATTAATTTTTAACCTAAAAAAGTGGGAAAAAGTCATAATTTTTATATTTTTTTAAACGTGTTTTTCCTTTACTTTTTTACTTAAAAAAAATATTATCATTAAAAATTTTATGCATATTTTTTCTATATCAGTTTTGGTGTTGGGAAATATTTATAATATTTGTATAACACACCACCAAAGTTGTTTTTTTTTTTCAAGTTTCTTACGTCGGATGGCTTAGGGGTATCTCCAAGACGTACTCCATGGGTACATCGAAATAATCTGGGTCGTGTCCGTTGGCGGAGAGCACCAGGGGCAGAACGTCCCATCGCGATCCCGCGGATTTCCACCCCAACTTCTGGCAGAGCTCGGTGAACTCGACGTTCATCGGGTCGCCTATGACAGAGCCGTCCTGTTGCCGGTATCCTGCGTAGCCGAGAAGCTGCGAGTTCCACACGCGGAAGTCGTGCGTGCCATCGGTGCGTTGAGGGAAGATTGTTATTGCCGATCTTTCAAAGAAATATTAAATTAAGAATAAAATTTAGTTATTAAATGTATAATACACTCACAGGCAAAATCGCAAATAACTTTTTTATTTGATGTCGGATTTAAACGAATATTAAAGAATATTGTAGATACATTAATGGAGAATCGCTCACATTTTAAAAATTACTAAAAAATACACGTACTTTTATAATATACAGGTTTAAACAAAAAGATGTTTTTTACCATAAGTTTAAGACACTCTGTAGAGTGGCAAAACAGTATATTGTTCTAAATTAAGTTTTATTTATCAAGTCACATCTATTCTTAACAGTTTTGTTTTTGGTTCACCTCGATATATTTATTTTTGTGGAAAATATAGATTTTTAAAAGAACATTGCAATTTCCAATATTTTTCTGTATGAAGAACTAAGGTTGCTATGGTCCATCCATAGGCTATGGAGGATGACAGTGACAGTTTTGTTGAATCATCCCATACTTGGACATGTCATACACGGCTTTCAAAAGCTATCAAATTGTTTTTTGCAAATTAATATTTAAATTTTGAGATGTCTTCTTACTTTAAAAAATGGATATGTCTCCGACTGATGTTGCCAGAGCCATTAATTTAATCCAGGATGGACGGTCACAGTATTACGTGGCAAGTGTTTTAAACGTCGCAAGAAGTAAAGTACAAAGGGCAACATCAGTCGGAGACATTGACACCTCAAAATTAACACATTAATTTACAAAAAACAATTTGATAGCTTTTGAAAGCTGTATATGACATGTCCAAGTATGTGATGATTCAACAAAACTGTCACTGTCATTCTCCATAGCCTATGGATGGACCATAGCAACCTTAGTTCTTCATACAGAAAAATATTGGAAATTGCAATGTTTTTTTAAAAAATCCATATTTTCCACAAAAATAAATATATCGAGGTGAACCAAAAACAAAACTGTTAAGAATAGATGTGACTTGATAATTAAAACTTAACTTAGAACAATTTACGGTTTTGCCACTCTACAGAGTGTCTTAAACTTATGGTAAAAACATCTTTTTGTTTAAACCTATATATTATAAACGTACGTCTATTTTTTTAGTAATTTTTTAAAATGTGAGCAATTGTCCATTAATTTATCTACAATATTCTTTAATATTCGTTTAAATCCGACATCAAATAAAAAAGTTATTTGCGATTGAAATTCATCGAAAATTTGTGTGGATCGATTATTTTGCCTGTGAGTGTAGTATATTTCTCTAAATGAATAATTAAAATCAGATCTGTCAAATGGTTAATTTAAGAATTGTCAACAATACATTTAAGGCACAGATTATACATCATTTTTAAATAAATAGGTAGTTTTTTCACAAGAGAGAGGAAGGCAGAAGTCTTACTCGACAAATTTTGTTCAATTGCACAGCTAAATCGCGCACGTTATTTGTGTTTTACGTTGCAAGAAAGAAAATAAAAAACTTTTTTAGTACTCTATTTCGATTGATTATCCCTTATAATATAAGGATATTATCATTGATTAAGAAACTCAACGCTAAAATGCTTATATAGTTACGTTAGTGTGTGTATTTTATCAAAGGGATCATGGTGAATTATTGTGTTTTTAATAGTAAATAAAATTCAAAAACTAAATATTTTATGTATGCACAATTGTATTTTAAAAAAATGTTAGGGTGTCAAAAGATACAATAACTTATTTCAAATATACAAAGGGATGTTTAAAAAAACAAACGAAATCCTAACCTCCGTGAAGCTCTAATATTCAAAATGTATGATTTGTTAAAATTCTTGCATTAGTGCAAAACCACTTATGTTATGTTATTACTAGACTTGGTGGCTTCCCAAAAACCCCATTTTAGACTAACAGTGAAACAACCAAAAATAAAAATAATCATTTTCACTTGGGGGACATCTCATTATATTCACCCAACTGTAACTTTAACATTTCCTGTGTAAGAATTTTTTATAATTGTGATAATATTTTACAATTAAAGTTTTTGTGCTAAGCTCAAGGTTTGAAGGCCGACGCGTAGCGGAGGCCTACAATTGAGCGAAGCACAAAAAGGCACTTCTTGGCCGAATGGCAGATAACATTTTATCTTCAAAGCACTTTATATAGGTCAATTTAATTTAACATTAAAACGGCCTAACCTCACTTTTTTAGAATCTCATTTATTTTTTAGCTAAAGATTACATTAAATGTACAATAATTATTATTGCTTTTAGAAGCAGTAATAGTTTGACAATACCTAGCAACATAATTTAAGTAGAAATGGATTTTTGCTATTACATTGAATTCAATTAATTGTTTAATAAATAGGTAGGTATCTAATTTCAATTTGTTTGGATTTTTATTTAAAAATAGGTAATATGGAATGTTTAAGCTGTGTTTAACATTTAATTTCACTGAAAACTTAAAGCAAATTAAAACTTAAAAATAATTTAAATCGTAGAAAAAGAATCGTGCGTTTTCTTGGTTGCCTAACCTCACTTTTTGTTTTATTATTTATATTTAATTTTACAATAATTTAATGAAATATATTTAAAAACAATTTACCATCTGGAGTAAAAACCTTTCATAAAACGCTTCCAGTAACCGTGGTTATGAGAAATGAGGACTTAAGGGGTAAGGGGATTTGCTTTTATACCTAATGTATGCATAAATTATCTTTTGTTATATTTTATTTTAAAACAGCCAATTTTTTAACTGGTTTTATAATTATTTTTATTTGAATAGAAAAGGCAATATAAAACTACATACAGTGTTTCTATAGAAACACTATATATAAGTATACTTAAGTTGGCAACATATGTGAAACTTTTGTTATTATTAATTTTAAGAAAAAAGTCATTCTTAATAAAAAGTTCTGCATGTTCTAAAATCTAAAATACAATCATCAGATATAAAAAAGTTCAGTCGTATACGTGGTTTGTCAAAAAATATGAATCCTACTCAAGAGTAAGGTATACCTTTATATAACATTCACAACACAGTTTAGCAATAATAAACTATAACATCCCGTGTAGTCTTAGCAAGTTTTAATCGAAAACCTAGAAAACCTAGAATTTTTTTAACATTTTTTCATTGCGACCTATATATTAAAATCCCCAATATGAAAATTTCCTTAAATATAACAATATAACTCAAACAAATGTTTTATATATCCCGGGCTTTCATCAAACTTTAATAAATTGGAAAAGTTTTGTTAAATTAGGCTTAATTTTAACTTTTATAATACAACAACTACAATAAGTTTGATTATTTAAATTAAAACTGAAATATTTTGGAATGTTTTTCTTTCACAGGGCTTACTGTTTGTTTAATTTCAAAGTAGACTTTAACTTTGTCCTATGGGCGATATATATTTTTATTAATGCATTTCATTAAATGTGAAGCAAACAAAAAAAACTGCGAAAATTCCTAAATTTCTGTAAAAGATATTAAAATTAAATTCACCGCAAAATTAAAAACCCTGTTTATTTTTCACCCCTTAAAAACAACACCAATTAAAAAGAATTAATTAAATAACCCGTAATACGTCAAGTCATAAAAGTGAGGATTATTTACATAAGAAAATTAAAAGTTTAGGAGATAAAGTAACGCTGGGTCTGGCAAAAACTCGTACGTATTAATAAAGCTCGAGATTTTCGTGTTTAATAAAGAAAGAATAAGCCAGCTGTATCTACCCAGGACTAAAAGGTTTGTTCAGATCCGATTAATTATGAAATATAAAGGGATTCTTTGAGATACAGGTGCACCTTCAATTGGACGTAGTTCAGCATATTCAGATATTTTGTAAAGTAATTTTATTCAGAAAAAATCTCCAAAACCCATGGTCTTAAAAATTACCATCATAAAATACAGGTGGTTTGAAAACCATACCAAAAAACTTTTAAACCAAACCATCCGTCAATTTAGTTCGAAGATTAATTTGCAAACAAAAATACCTCCTTTCGTTAAGCAGTTATTCATAATGTATTTTTTAACAGTGGAAGAAAAAAAAAAAGAAATGATTTTGATTTATGGAGAAGCAGGCAGGAATCTTGATGATGCTGTTAATATCTACGCTCAGCGTTTTCCGGATAAAATTCGATCACGTACTTCATTTCACCGCACAGTCAAGCAGTTTACTACAAACGGGAGTGTTCAACAAAAAAAAAGAGTTCGTCGAGCAACAGTAGCAGGTGGAAATAATGAAATTAATGTATTAGCAGCAACGGCCGCTAATCCTCATGCAAGCACAAGAGAATTATCTAGAGATTTGGGAATATTCCAGAGCAGTGTTAGCAGAATGCATTGAAGTCGAAGGCCACCATTTTGAGCATCTACTATATACAGGGCTTCCAATTAAAAACTAGCCCGAACGAAGAATAATTCAAGGTGTAGGCAGATAACTCTTGAAACGTTTTTTCCTTTTTTGGCCAGTCCTGTATATAATCTATAATTCTTATTTTAACTTAAAATTATTAAAATAAACATGTATTATTCAACAAAATAAAATATATTTTTATACTGTTGTGATTGTTGATAATTTTATGTATCTAATTATATGCAAATATTAAATCAAACGTGTAATGTATTATTAAAAATATAAATAAAATAAAATATATTTATACTGTCCTGATTGATGATAATTTTATGTATCTAAATATGATACGGAAAATATTGCCATGCTTATAAAAACCAATACGAAAATAAACCAAGTCATTATTAGAATGGCCTCCTTAGTAAGCAGTTCGTTGTTATTAGATGTTATAGGTGTAATTGTAGCCATTATTGCGGTAATTTATACGTGGTTCAAGTGGAGCTATGGGCATTGGAAAAGGAAAAATGTACCGTACATAGAGCCCTCATTTCCCTTTGGAAATGTGGCCAAATCTATGGCTATCGATAAAATTTCGTTCACGGATAGAACTCTAGGTTGGTACAAATTTGGAAAGGAAAATAAGTATAAGCACTTCGGGTTGTATTTCATAAAAAGTCCAGTTTTATTGGTAATGGATTTGGAGAACATAAAAAATATCTTGACGACTGATTTCGAGCACTGGGTTGATAGAGGTGAGTTCAGCGCTTCAAGACGTTATTTTTTTGACGTAATAATTTAAGGAAACTATGTTAACGAAGAAGGCGACCCTCTCAGCGCGCATTTGTTGAACATAGGCGGCGAAAAGTGGAAAAATCTGCGTAAAAAGTTTACGCCGACTTTTACCTCCGGCAAAATGAAGCAAATGTTTAAAACAATCGCGGATTGCAGCGTTTCTTTGGATCGGGTTATGGAGGAAAAACTGAAAGAAAACAAACCGCTGGACATCAAAACCGTGGCAGGAAATTTCACCACGGATGTGATAGGATCCTGCGCGCTTGGTTTGGAGTGCGGTTCCTTTAAGGAGGAGGACTCCTTGTTCAGAGTATACGGAAAAAGGGTGTTCGACAGCAACCACTTTGATTTCATGAAGATGATTTTCGTGAACGCGTGGCCTGAGTTTGCTAAATCAATGAATTTAAAAATTATCCCGGCAGACGTCACCAACTTTTTTTTGAGCGTGGTGAAGAATACTGTGAAGTATAGGAGGGAAAACAACGTGACGCGTAAAGACTTCCTGCAAATTTTAATCGACATGGAGAAGGAGAACTATGATGGCGCCGGAAATTCTCTGACCATGAACGAAATGGCCGCGCAAGCTTTAGCTTTTTTCGTCGCAGGGTTTGAGAGTTCGGCCACCACAATGACCTTCACTCTGTTTGAGATGAGTCAGCACCAAGATGTACAAGACAGGGTGAGGCAGGAAGTAAATGAGGTTTTGGCCAAGCACAACGGAGAGATCAACTATGAGTCCATCATGGAGATGAAGTATATGACTCAAGTCATACAAGGTAAGCTACACTGTTCAAAATTTCATGACATTAACACCATACATGGTCTATATCGATACAAACCAAAATGGTGTTAAATATGGTTCGTTGGTCCTGTGTAAATTCAAATACTAAAATGGTGTAAATTCAACTTTCAGACAGTATTAAAATAACCACTTGGTGTTGGATTTTGACACCATTTTAAAACAAGGGTTTTGGTGCACATTTGTACAATTTCATTTTTTAGAGGCATTAAGGAAATACCCTCCAATCCCAGATGTATCCAGACGATGCGTGAAGGAATACAAAGTACCTGGGACCGATTTAGTTCTGGAAGAAGGCACCCTAGCTTTCATACCAATCGTAGGTATCCACTACGATGAAGACTACTACCCAAATCCCACAAAATTCAATCCCGAACGTTTTAGCCACGAAAACAAACAAAAAATCAAACCATTTTCTTACATGCCTTTTGGTGGAGGGCGAAGAGTATGCATTGGTGAGACATACAAAAAAAAACAAAATATAAAATACACATTTCATAATTTTCAGGCGAAAGATTCGGACTTCTGCAGGTTAAAGTTGGACTTACCACGTTTTTGAAAAAATACAGATACACTTTAAACAAACAAACTCAACTACCACTTAAAATGAATCCATTAAACTTTATAACCACAGTAAAAGGAGACGTTTGGCTCAACTACGAAAAAATTTAAACTTTATAATTAACAAATTTGGCAAATATAAATTTAAATAAAAACAATATGTTTGAATAATTCAGCATAAAAATCCTGGCAAGAAAATAAGAATTTAAAAAATATACATTTTTTTTTAAATTAAGTTAAAATCCTCTTGAGAAAATTAAGGAACTAAGGAACGAAATCTTTGCCTTTTAACTCTCGGCTAATTCAGGATTAATTGTCGGTGTAAATAAATTATTTGCTGTTTTATCTCTCTGCCTCCTTTAAAGAAGCACTCGACAACTTAAGAGATTTTAGAGAGAAATGAAAGAAAATTTTATTTGGAGTTTGTTTATTTCATTTTCGCGGGATGAATTTAATAGTAAATACGTCTTAAAATGTAAGTTCCTAGAAAGTTGTCAGAAATTTAACTACGAATTTATGGCAAGATAAAATTTGTTCGATTTTTCTTTTATACAATTCTGCAATAATTTTTCTATAAAAATATCACTTTTTTTATTAAATTAAATCTGCTTTTTTTAAGTACCCACGATTTTTTAACTAATATTTAAGTTTCCTTTGGTTTAAGTTTTATACATTATTTCATTCGGTGATAATTACCTGCCAGCATTAAATCCTTTAATTTAAAGGATTATTGTACTATTTTTAATAAAAATACCCCATTTAAGGTAAAAAAAAACATTATTTGTCGATTAATTAATTTAATCCTAATTGAGGTAAAAAAAAATGGTAATAAGTTATAAATAATAATTATTATTGAGGTATAAAGAAACTATTTATACATAGTTTAGCATTATTTAATCAATTTAGTTCGAAGATTAATTTGCAAACAAAAAGACCTCCTTTCGTTAAACAGTTATTCATAATGGATTTTTTAACAGTGAAAAAAAAAATAGAAATAATTTTGATTTATGGAAAAGCTGGCAGGAATCTTGATGATGCTGTTAATATCTACGCTCAGCGTTTTTCGGATAAAATTCGATCGCGTACTTCATTGCAGCGTACAGTCAAGCAGTTTACTACAAACGGGAGTGTTCAACCGAAAAAAAGTGTGTCGAGCAAATATTTAATATTGTTATTTTGAGCACCTTCTTTAATTAAAATTTAAAAAATAAATAATTAAATTTAAAAAGTATTTTATTCAAAAATTATTGGAGAATCGTATACAGAAGAAAAATCGAACAAAATTTATTTATTTTCATTTAGGTGAGTGACGTCATACTAAGAATAATAATACAATTTCAAGAGTAGCATGTATATCTTTTAATGTTTATTTTCTTGATCAAATTTCAAACATAATTCTTACACAAACATATCATAACATCCTTTGATAAAATTTGATATCGAAAGATGATCACAAAACCATTTTTAAATTGCGTTGTATCTTGCGAGTTATCTGATATTTTTTATATTTTTTACTCTACAAATCCTAAATGCAAACAGTGCGTAGTCGGACGATATTTACAAGGGACTAAAAAAATATCCTGCCAATGGAAAAGTTGATAATGATAATATTAGATTATTTTTTAAGGATGTTTATATATTTTTTAATAAAAATTAACTAATTAACTCACCTAATATTTCCCTTATTGGTGCTGTATTTAACGTGGTTGCAAAGGGCTTCGAACATTCCACTGGTAGTTGTCACATATCTGCAGTCAAAAACCTGAAAGTACAATAAAGTCTGTTAGATTTTATCTTAATCCCAACAACAAATAACACCCGTGGCATTTCATTTTGGTGAGGCGCCCTCATTTAAAGGCTAAGAAATTTTTTTAAACCCAACTTAAAAAAACTAACGTCGAAGTTCACAACCTATACTTAAAACTAAGTAAAAATCTTAGACTGTGGTGGGAAAGGAATCCTCTACTTTGTCATGAAATATATTTTATTGTAAAAATGACGTTTATTTTAAATAAACCTCATTTTTGTCTAATTAATATTTCATTGTTCATCAAGAACCACGTGAAGGTCAACAATATCGGTACAATTTCTTACCATAATATCCATAATGAGTAAATTCACATAAATCACCAAGTTCAATTAACTAAACCCACAGAATAAACCACTTACAAAAGAATCATAAAATAGACAAACTCATAGAAAAAGAATAAACAAAATATTGCGTAAATAACCCCAGATTTGTTCTTTAAACAGTTCAGAATTTTATAACCAAAACAAACCTAAAGAAGGAATCTGTATTTGTTTTATTGGTTACTGTGATGGCTACAAGATAGTGGTAAAATATGTTTATTTTAGAATAGAAATATAATTTCAATTAAATCGATTTATTATTGAATTTTGAAAAACGTGTGAAGTATAATTTATCTAAAATTCCGCAACAGTGTCGCCACAACACCTGCTTATTTCCTTGGATGTAGGCGTGCCTGCCTCGCGTATGCTAATACGAGAGAAGGAGACAACTATGATATCGCATTGTAATAGAACGAGACAACAAGGCTAACGCCAATCGTGAGTCTAAATTAGTTCAGGCATGCTTCTGAGCCAATCATCTAGCTATAAATATTAGTTTAAATTGCGGTCGTTTTAAATTCAAATAATTTAAATGTTGCTGGGTATTCCACGTATAAAATCAATCAATTTTATTGACTATTTCACAATTCATGTAATCCAAATATTAAAAATTTATAGTATATTATAGAAAGTAAAATATTTAAATTATACTTAATTTTTTAATTCTCTATGATGAGGCACTGCCTCACCTGCCTCCCCTGACGGGCAGCCACTGAGAATAAGGACCGCGCTGTCCACCTGCAAATATCTGCTTGAAAATAAACATGGTTGTTGAACTCGTACACATTCAATCTTCTAATATACAAAAGGCATGCTAATTAACATGGAATATCCATGTATAAAAGGGATTTGCTAATAACTCGTTACGACGATAACCGAAAATAAGAAAACTAAAGAGAGAAATAATTTCACAATCTGCCAAGCAATTCCGGCCCCAGTCACTCAAACTGAATCGAAGCAGAAAACACTGGATGACAAATTTAAAACTAAACACCCGGCTCAAACAGAAGATAAAAATTTTTGTTTTGTGAGTTTTTGTTTTTAATATTTGAATATTCAATTCGTAGTTTGTTAATTTTATTTTGTAAAATATTACTTTTTGTTTCGGAAATTGAAAGCAACAATTCTTATTTTATAATTTTTTTTACCGTGTACTAATATGATAATTATTAATAATTATTTTTAGATTAAGAAGTGGTCATTGACAATATCATCTCTCTTAAAAAGAATTAGTCAAAAATAACTAATTATAAGTCATATTTGACTAATTGTCATAGCGAAAAGGCAGTCACTAATAATTAGTCAAATTCTACTGAATGAAATAGTCAAATTAGTATACTATCTATAGATTTAAATTTAAAAAAAGTTTTGACCCAGCCGAAGATTGAACTAAGGTCTGTCACTTGTCAAGCTTGTCAAGCTGTTGTCATAACCCATTCGGCTATCAGCCGCTCTTATAAAAATTAATTTTATTTGTTAATAAATATTGTTCATAATATTTTAAAGTTGAATATATTATTTGTGTTGCTGTTTTGAGCTAAACTTTTTGCATCTTTATTTGTTTTTATGGGTCATTTAAATGCTGGTACTAATTCAAATAGTAGAATTTTGACTATTTCATTTTTAGAGAGATTAAAATTTTTTAAATTGAATTTATATTTATGTCAAGTATGTCGCAAGTTGAATTCAATTAAACTTAACAATGTTCCCTCTTTCGATTACTTTCAACTCGCCCTATAACCACTCGAAATTTATAACCCGCCCACGAAAATACACACACAAAAATCCAGCAGATATGTTTTTCGATATAAACGCTTCTTGCCGAAAAAGAAAGTCCGCCTGTTAATCCCCTGATTGCGTGTCCGATGCTCCGCAAAGAAAAAAATGCGTAAAACAGCACAAAAAAAGCAACCCGATCGTTTGATAGTAAACCCAGATGGCCATGTAATCCCTATTAACACGTGATGAGTCCTTTATACGGTACAAGGGTCCGCATTAAATACAAAGTCAAGTACAAAACATATATACGAGGTGTGTTCAGAAAATAACGGGAATTGTTAAATTTCGCGGGTTCGGAGGGTCCGGTTGTCATAAAATTTTCTTTATTATGTTGGTATATATGCCCCCGAAGTATGATAAAAACTTTAGCTGTTTTTATTGTTTACTTTGTCTGTGGCAGCCGCTAAGGTTAGACGTGTTTTATGAGCTCGGCGATTTTCGTTCGTTAAAAGAAATGGATCAAAGAGAATTTATATCCAATTTTGCTTAAAAAATGAAATAAATTCTGTGAAATGTTAACAAAGGCCTATAGTGAATCTGCTTTAAGTAGAACAAGAGTTTACAAGTGGTATAAGAGTTTCCAAGATGGCCGTGAAGACGTTGAAGATGACGAACGCCCCGAACGCACAAGCACATTAACAACCGATAAAAACATGGAAAAAGTGGAAGAAATGGTTATAAACCATCAGAGAAGTCGCTGATGATGTTGGTATAACGATTGGCTCAACCCATGAAATTTTTTCGAATGTTTTGGGTATGAAACGCGTGGCAGCAAAATTTGTTCCAAAATTGTTAAATTTTGAACAAAATTTTTGGCCAAAAACCATATATGGTAATATACTGTAATGATAACCCAGCCTCCATATTCGCCAGACATGCCTCTGTCTGACTTTTTCCTATTCCCAAAAATAAAGAGAACCTTAAAGGGCCGTCGTTTTGCAAGCATAGATGACATTAAAAGCGCATCGCTGAAAGAACTAAAGGCTATCCCAAAGATCGAGTTTTAGAAGTGTTTCGAGTATTGGAAGAAGAGCTGGCACAAGTGCATAATATCCAATGGGGAAGAAAAACGAAAATTTATATAAATATACAATTTTTCAATAGCTGCGATTTAATTAGAAACTGTTTCTTCATTTTATTCACATCATTTGGGTCACTGTGCTATCAAATTAAGCGAGCAGATGACCGAGCCGCCGCCGTCGCCGCCAACTTGGTTTACCCGCCGCCGCCTTCACTTGTTATTAGCCGTGTTTTGTTTGTTTCACTGTCACCACAGCCTTTTACGATGTCCACTGAAGCCGCATTGCTCCCGCTCAAATAATATTATTTTATGGCGCTTTATTTGCGCAGTGATTTATTAGGAGAAATTAATCACGAATGTTTTAAATTTTCGTAGGAACGCGGATCTGAGTATTTAAATTGCTTTTCATAAATTAATTATATTTACGTGTACCATTTGTGGATGTGACCCAGAATGATGAATGAATGTAAATTAAGTAAAATGATTTGACAGACCTAAAATAATTTGACTTATGTAATAATATATAAAATAAAGCGACATCTATACGAAAATAAAGTAACCATCCCAATTAAAATTTAATGAAATTATAATTATATTAATCAAATTATAGTTATAGGAATACTAGACCTGTTTCTAAAAGGCAATGCTCTTTTACCTATTCTTTTACAGGTACCAATAACACCTTTGTAGGCATTTAGGCAAATGTTTTAAAAAATAAATGCAATGATGCCGAAGACATCAAGAGGGAAAAAAGACAAGAATATAAAAAAATAAAGAAATAAACTAACATATGTTAGTTAATGGTTGATATACATAAAGTATGGCTTCAGAATAAAAGGAGGAAGCTGTACTCAAAAATTGCATGTCCATAAAAATTGTGCCAGAAAATGGGTGGGAGGTGGAGTCTCGAAACTTTTTGTAGCATGCATATAGTTTACCCTTGCCTGCCCCCTGAACAAAATCCCGGCTACACCCTTGCTGGAAATGGGGCAAGAATCTCTGCTTTTCTAAAATGTTAAATTAAACCCAATGAGAAAAATTCGGGTTTTTTTAAATAATTTATATTGAAAAATATAGGTACACAAATTTAAAAAACTGTTTTTTAAAATTTAATTGTTGTAGTTCTAGTCCAATTTTTTTTACCCTGTGTATTCTATTTTAAAAATAAAAATATTGTTTCAGAGCATATTTTTAATTATTTGTCAAATTAATATTACAAAAGAAAAAAAGTCCCCTCTACCTTGTTGGGCCCTTTACCCAAAACCCACTGTTTCTATATCTAAGAGCAAGCAGTTAATTTAAAAATTTAAAAGCAGAAAATAAGTTGAACATGGTCTAAAATTTAATATTCTTTAAAAGTATTTAAAAAAAATAAGACAAATATTTTTTAAACACAATTTTGGGTTTATTTTATAATCTTTATTATTTATTTATAGTATTTTTTTATTATCTATAGGTATTACACTAAAAAGTAAACAATTATGTTTTTTAAATTAAAAAAATAAATCAATAAATATTTTCACCCAAGTTCAATGTTAGGGGTAATTATTTTCAATGAAACTAAAGAGAGTTACAAATCAATTGATTTCAATTATTCAGCTTTTCAATCAGACAAAAAACAGCAAAGATATTTGATATAATTAACATGGTAGTAATTTTATCTTAAACAAATGTTATTTTTTAATTATATCTTTGTTATAGGTATGTTTACTTTCCAAATTTATTTTTTCATATATATTTACAAACAAAAATACTGTCTATTTTTATCCATATTTTAAATCAGTCGTTAACGACTGATATAAATTATATCAACCGATTTATATTTTAGATGG